ATAATTCTACTATGATTACAACCTTTGAAACTAAACCTAGTAAAATCTACGAGAGAACCTTTGCCCATTTCTGAGATCACATTATACTTCTTGGAACAGATAAGGATGGCGTTGTTTGAAATTGTTTGTGAAATGGGATGTAGTTCTTGAAAATCGTTGAGGGTTTGAATGAGAGAGGTTCAAATAATAGCGTGTTTTTTGGGTTGAAAAATTGCTTAAAAATTGAATTGTTTTTCCTGCTTCAAAATGAAATTATTGTGATTTTTTCATTTTGGGGTGCTCTTTCATATTTTGAATTTTGGTTTAAAAAAATTGGAAAAATTGGAAATATTTCGTTGGTATACTCGTTGAAAAAATATTTTTGATTTTTGAAAGTTTTGGGGGTAAATGGTATGCTGGTTGAGAAAATTATGGTGAAAAATGAGTGAAAAATTGGATTTTGGCGTGGGGGGGGGGCACGGTAAAGTCACCCGTGAAAATGGGCAAGGGTATTGCTAACTGAAACCGGGGCGGTCCCCTGGGATCGCTTTGCTCTTTTTGTACACTGTAGTTCGTCTTGACGAAGCCCAGTAGACACCACACGCAAACGAGCCCTGAGCCCCAAACCTTTCAAACGCTAGCGGAATCTGATGAGTTGAAGTCGCCTAGCTCGCAGAGGCGTCGGCCTCTCGTCCCTGCGGTGGAGGGGGAGGAGGCCTCGTTCGCTTTAGTGTTTAGGGTTTAGGGGTGGATTGCTGCCAACATGCAGTGCTTTGTCTTCGCCATGCCCCAAAGATTTCGGAGTTGGGCTTCTTGGGCTTATCCCGCAATAAAGTATGCGCGGTTTAGGGTTTAAGGGCTTATGGTCTCTCCGAGGACGGCATGCAAAGCCGGGGAGGAGTTTAGTCTAAGCTCAAGCGCGTCCTCGGCAAATCCGACGAGTCCTCCATTCGCAACCGGTCTGTAAAACGGCTTGAGGAGCAGTGTTCTGGGCTTAGAGGGTTTGTGCCCCTGCACTGTCCTGATATCCTTGCATCCAGTGAGTTTCCGATAGGACCAGAATTGCTGCGGCACCTCCGCTGAAAACCAGCCTTCTACTTCACCCTAAACCCTAGGCCCTAAACCCTAAACCCCTAAACCCCTAAACCCTAACCCCTAAACCCCTAAACCCTAAACGGCCTAAACCCCAAACCCCTAAACCCTAAACGGCCTAAACCCCCAACCCTAAACCCTAAACGGCCTAAACCCCAAACCCTAAACGCTAAACGGCCTAAACCCCAAACCCTAAACGCTAAACGGCCTAAACCCTAAACGGCCCACGCCCTAAACCCACAGGAGGACGTAGAGGAACCGGAGCGCAGCGAGGAGGCTCCCGGCTCTGCACGCGTTTGCCTTTGCTTTTCACAACGGAAGCGTACAAAATACTAGATACTAAGAGGTTTATAGGGTTTAGGGTTTAGGGGTTTAGGGGTTTAGGGGTTTAGGGGTTTAGGGGTTTAGGGGTTTAGGGGTTTAGGGGTTTAGGGTTTAGGGTTTAGGGTTTAGCTATAGATAACAACAGGTAATAAATGGATAACAACAGGTGATAAAGGTAAAAATAGGCAATAGCAGGAAAAATAGCAGATCAAAACCCCTGTAGTAATGGATAACAATGGACAATAGCATGCAATACTGTGTAACAGTATCCAATAGTACGTATTTACCAATAGCAGATAGCAGGTAATAGCATATAGTAACATATAAGATCATATGCCAATATAAAATAATATGATGTGTAGTAAGATAAGTAATACTCCATAACCTTGTATTAAAACTTAGTAGTATGTGCTGTTATATTTGGTCGGAGAATCGGAGACTCCATTGTTGTTGTGCCTGGCTGAACAGTTTGGCTCCGGGTCAGGTACAGTACCGGAGAAGCCCCAGTTTTTGGAAAGACCAAATTTTTGGACAGACCAGGGAGCCATGGACCAAGTTCCATTTCTGCAATCGTGCAGTTTTCTCTGCCTCGCACTTGCTCTTGCAGCAAGTTGTTCAACAAGCTTTTTGGGCAATCGCCCCAACAATGGCACGAGCACGGTGGTTGCGGCATCTTGCCTGTGGTTCTGCCCGGCGATGTGGCATCTACCGTACTATGCCGTGGTTGGAATCACCATGGCAGCAGTTGGAGTGTCCTTGTCTTCTTTGCAGAGTTCTATCTCAAGTCTTTTCCATCAGAAACAAAAGAGCACCACGCTGCCCGCTGCTTCTTTGCTGTGGAAGGTGGTGGGTGCCATGCTAAAGCGAGGTGAGTTCGTCCAGGCAATCATTTGCTTGATATGGGGCATGCACTGCTTCATCACACACGTGTTGCTGGAGTTAGAGGATCTCGTCCTCGAGCTCGTGCCGCAGTGGGAGGGAGAGGTAGTCGTGATTTTGGGTCATCCTCGAAGCGCTTCAACACATGTGCATCACATGCTCAGCCAGACGTTGCCAAGCAGCGCGTCGTTGACTTTCTACGATGTCCTCTTCCCCTCCCTCATCCAGTGGTATTGTATGTACCCTTTCAAGCCCTTGGTCAACACCTTCCTGAGACTCCTCGACTCGCCACAGCACCGGATAGCTGTGGATGAAGTTGCAGAAGAGCAACAGTGGTTGTTGTTGAAGTTCAAGGACATCTTGTTGCCAATGCTCTTCCCAGCGATGGTGGACGACCCGGAGCTGTTCCGTGCATCTTGCGACTACACGGAAGCCGACATGATGTTCATCAAGGGGTGCATGAGACGCCTCTTGATCCGCAAGCCGCAGAGCAAGCTCTACATTGCGCGCATGCTCACTTTCTCACCATGGCCCGAGTACATCACAGCTGCCTCCCGACGCAAAGTTCATCGTTTGCTTGAGAGATACCGAAGAGTGTCTGCGATCCTTCGTAAGCCTCGCAGCTGTTCACTCTGGCGGCAACCCGAACACACCACTCTGCAAGAAGTGGGCGCAGAACTGTGCCGACACCCTCACAGCAGGTACCGTTCGAGGCCTGCAGCGCCTTGTGGACGGCCAGGTGCATGCCGAGTCGGTGATGCAAGTGAACTTCAAAAGCTGGAAAGCAGAGACTCGGTCCTCGCTGATCTGGCTGCTGAAAGAGTCGCTTGGCGGATTTTTTTGGAGCAGTGCTTTAATTTCCCTTGCGGTCCTTTTAGAGGTGTACTTCTTGCACTCGAGACTCGAAACTTCGACTGCAAACTAGGCTGGGGATGCAAGAAGAGATGAAGGCCCTGGAGGGAGAGGAAGTGAAGGTGGAGCGACGCGAGAAGCACAAGAGCAGCCCGGACTTGATCGACTGCCTCGAGGGAGTTGCCATCGCCGACTGGGCCATTGATGAGATGAACTCCATGATGGAGAAGCTGAAAGTGATATGAGTAGTAGTGATAGTAGCAGCAGCAGTACTGGTTGTAGCATTAGTAAAAAAATAGGCGCATGATAAGAGTAGCAGAAGACTAGACACGAGGGTACACACACAGGTATAGATATATATATATATATATATATGTATGTATGTATGCATGCATGCATACACAGACATAGAGACACACACACACACACAGACATAGTATAGCCACGCTCGTCCCGGCCGCCCATGTGACTGTGATTCATTCAATTTTGCGAATTCGCTGTCTGCCTTTAACCCGCATAGCCCCTCCGTGCATCAGTGCGCTACGCTCTTGCATCAGCTTGTGAAGAGTTGTGTGCCATGGCGGCAGAACAAGCCGTGCCATGCGCACAGGGTCGTGCCGCGCTTGTACAGAATCTACAGAGAGGGTGATTTCTTTTGATGGGCGGACAGCTATGTGCCCCCCGATCCGGTGCATCCATTTCGGGGTTCCTGGCCAGGGTCAGGACATCCTTGGCCTTTTGAGAGGGAGCGGGGTTGTTCCCGCTCAGTGTTTCCATGCTTTGTAACAATATGCTTGGCATGCTAGGTTCTGAGACGTTTGGTTTGGCCATGGCTGTAAGCGCCAGGCCCTGTGTCGTACGCTCGATGCATACGGGAAACTGTGAACATGGTTTGTTTGCATACTCGTGTGAGGGCTTGCAGACTCCGCCGTGCCCTTAGAGATGTTGCACTCGTCAGGTACGACCTGTCGGCCTACGTGCCAGGCGGCTGGCACGGCGAAGGGACAAGGACGCAGGGACTGAATGCTTCCGGTTGAGCCTTTGGTCTTGGGCCTCGGATTTTCGGGCTTCCCGACTTCCGAATTTTGGATAAGTTGCAGCGTTTCGAGTGCAGGGATGCAGTGCATCTTCACGTCGGCGACTCAGGAGGACACCAGAAGTAGCAGCCCACTGGAAATCACGCAGGAGCTTACAGGGTCAGCCTCATTGAGCCAAGCCATGAAGTCTGCTGGCGCAGAGGGTGAAAGGGTTGCTGCAAACTAGGCACAGCAAGCCCGGAATCTTGAAATCCTGTGGAAGAGCGCGTAAGGGACGATCGTTCCTGACAACACCGCTCTTTCAGAATCAGAACCTAATCCCTCGCAGACCGGTTTGCGAAGGAATTTGCCGTTTCTACATGGGCCTTAGCAAGCTTCCAACGGTTTTGGGCTATGTCATGCTGTACTTACAGACAGGGACAACGTCGGGTCATTTTTGGCAATTATTCCGAGCCCCATATTACCCCAAGCGCAGATCCAGTTCGTAAATGTTCGTACGCCGAGCCAGCATGTCAGTGGTGTGCTTAGCTAGGGTTGGTACCTATGTCAGTAGTACGCCATAGGACGATCCTCACCAGGACCATAATGTAGAACAACCCCTCATAATCTGGCAGCTCTGATCCTGCACTGCCCGTCGCCAGGCCACCAGTCTCCCCCAGCGTCCCAAAGTGGACGCGCCTCCGGAGATCCGGGGATGAGGGATACGGCGTGAGGGTTCAGGTGTTTTGTGCGGGATTTTGTGCTCAGGCTGTCATGCCTGGGGTTTTAGGAGGGTCCAGGGTTGTCGCGTAAGCCCTGGGTCCTGATTTCGGTAGATTCGGGGTGTCGGCTGGTGACTTCTGTTGACTAGGTGATTAGGCAACGCTTCGCAAGACAGCGTTGAGTATGAGAAATCGAGCGAGAGAGCGCGAGACTGTGTCTCTCTCTCTCTCTGTCTTTGTGTGCTCGTGTGTGGGTGTGAGTGTCGGTGCTTGAGGGCACCTACGTTTCCGTTCGACAAAGCTCTTCGACTGAGCACGGTCACGCTAGCCTTTGCCCCCAAATTTTCGATCCATTGCTTCTCTGGATTTTCTCTTGAAGGCTTTGCACTCGGCCTTTCGGAGTGCAAGGGGGAGCTTTGGGATGCCTGCAGGAGAGCCTTCCGGCTGGGTTCATTCCAGATCTGCCTGGCTCCGCAAAGCAGCTGCCTGAGATTTGGTGTCGGCTGCTGGATTCTAAGGGAATACGGGTTGAGGGTCCAGGGTATAGAGTTTTGGGGAACATTGGGATGTAGGGTTATGGGTAGCAGCGCGAAGTCCGCATCCGCTGCAGACAACCTAGAAATCAGCAAACTCTCTTTAGCGAAGTCCGGTTTCCAGGTTTGGGGTTGGCGGCTTCGGCTTCAGGAATCTGTTGCAGTGGAAGCCGTTCTCCAGTTAAAACCTAGACTCGACTGTGAACCCCAAGCCCTCCGCCCTTGACCCTGAAGAAGATGGCATCTCAAGGCCTCGGAGCCACTTGCTGGTAGAGCTGCTGCGGTATGAGGACTTCTACCATGCCTCCCCCACGCCGCCCAGATGTCTACAGGGGGTTGGGGTGTAGGGATTGGGTTTTCTGGGATCATGAGCTTTTGGGCTAGTTCGTAAGCGGTTCTCAATTCTACGCTTGCAGGCGCATCAGACTTCGACACCCTGTTTTTCCTTGTTCTGGCCTTGTTGTGCAGATCAGGATCACTGGTCTTGCCATACTGCAACTGTTGACTGAGGCACTCGGCATGTCGTGACTCACATCTTGCCTGGTACACGTAGCCGAAAGCTGCCACCTCTCAAAGCTCCGAAGTTTGCAAGCCCATGTCGGACCTAGATAGGCCAGGCCCCAGCCTCGAGCCTAAAATTTGGCCTGAGTGAATCCGACACCCAGAAGTCCTTAGAACGATCAGACATCCTCCGAAATTCACCTAAACACCGTACGTGACCTCCTCTTATCATCAGCATCGTCAGCATCAGCATCAGCCTCATCATCGCTATCATCATCGTCATCATCATCAGTATCATCGTCATCATCATCATCATCACATCATCATCATCATCATCATCATACTCATCATCATCTTCATCTTGTTTTCATCATGAATGCCATCGGAATATTATGATGGCAACTAGAGGTGCTTAGTATCACTGTGATGGCCGCAGGTTATTCATCATGGCTACAGTTAGTTATGCTGGTTATCTGCTACCACCGACGTGATTTTTGCAGTGGTAGTGGTAGTGGTAGTGGTGGTGGTAGTAGCAGTAGTCGTAGCAGTAAGAAGCCAAGGCTGGAGAACCGGCTGAAGGGGCCACTGGTGGTCGCGGAAGCCCGGCTTGAATGAAGTCTCAGTGAAACGGAAAGGTCGAAAGTAGCTTGAACTTTAAATATTTCAGGATTCCGAAGAGGGTTCGAGATCTAGGGTGACTCGCATTTTGAGTGTCGCGGGCTTCTGGGTTTTTGAGGCGCGCTTGGCGCTTCATTCGTTCAGTGTTCGGAGCGTTTGGTGGGAGCAGGCCTGGGGCTCTTAGGGTTGAGATTTTGGTCGAGTTCAGGTTTTTCTGCAAGAGTTTTTCACCTTTGGGACCAACTTCCCGAATATGTCTAGGCCGTCATATATCTCAAATATTTCAAACTCTTATGTGTAGACCCAAGGCCCCGAAACCCCTCAAGCCCCAACTTCCAAACCCTAAGTGCTACATCCTGAGGCCCTTGGCCCTAGGCACTTCTTGAAACTTGAAGTCCTCATGGAACCGTCCTTGGTCATGGAGTTTAAGTGAGCCCTAAACCCGTAGACTCACACCCTACGTCCTAGGTCCTACACCACTAAACACCGAGCCCTGAAAAAATCCTCAAGCCCAGCAGAAGCCTGAAACTCGAAGCCCAAAGCCCTAAACCCCTAAGCCCTACACACCTGGCAAAAAAGCGAATCTTAGGAGCGGGATGCAGAAATCCGGCTCCTCCGGCGGCTGGGTTGGCATGTCATCTGTGCACCCTGGCTGGTGAATCAGCGGTGCTTGAGGTGTTACATGGTTTTTCCGTGAGAACCTATGTCTTTTATTTACGATTTCGGGGTTGATGGGTTTAGGAGTCCAGGGTTTTCGGATTTGGGGTTTGCCTTTGGGTTTGAGTTTGGGTTTGGAGCAGCGAAGATTTCAATCCCCAACGTGGGTGGTACCACTCTGTCACTAAGTACGGGTTCCGTACAGCGGAGACAGTGGCGCGGTTCACACCTTTGATGAACCTCGCTGTAAATTCCAACACGTCGGCGTTGGCGAACGCGCTGAATTGCACTCCACCGCAGCACCGTGCGTGTTCGGGCTGCGCATCGTCTTCCCGCCACAGTCCCGGGAATCTCCGCCTTCCGAATTCGTGCTGTACATGCTTTCGGGTGCGACTCGAGCTTGCGCTTCCCCGAGTCGTTTCCAGCCAGTGCTGCGTCGTGTTCTGGTGTGCCAAGCGTGCTCTGGTCTGGATGGTGGACTCATACTGTCGGGGTGCGTTTGGGAAGTTCAAGCACTCCTGGAATTTGTGAAAGCCTTCAAGCTCTAAAGCTCTACATATGCTAAGCCACACCTTGCTGAACCCCCAAACCCCTAAGCCCTACAAACCCAAGCACCAAGAAACGAGGTTCCAGAGCACCGTTGGCAGCTCGGAGAAGAGGGTGACCACGAAGCTGCTTCAGAGGCAACCGGGGGTTTAGGACTTTGGCACTTTCGGGTTTCTTTGTCGTATTTTGTACGACTTTAGGGTTTCTTCATGGTATTTTGTACGACTTTAGGGTTTCTTTGGGGAGGGAGTGCCTGCAGAACCGGAGCCATTGAAGGACCCCTGTACCCTGAAGCAGGCCCCAGCTGCCCTGCCAGCTCGAGAGACGACAGCCGACCTTTCAAAACCCTGGATTCAAAATCCCAAACTTCTAAACCCTACCTAAGCCCTTATTATCCCAAAACCCGAGCCTACATTCTCACGACCTAACCTCTGAACTAGGAGAGCAGTGCTTTCGTGAGTCGAAGCCTTTGAGTTGCTTTGTGCTTCTGACCGTCCTGATTCTACACGCCGCCAGGTCCTCTATCATATCTCCAATTAGGTTTAGGGTTTAGGGTTTAGGGTCCCCTCTTTTGGGAGCTCTTTTTGTGATAAAGAGTGAACTCCTCATTGGGGCTGTCTGTCTGCTTGGTTCATATTCCAACAAGTAGGACTTCGTCAGCTTGTGCTATTTTCAGGAGTCGTGAGCCTCATTCAGATACGAGGCTAAAGAAGAAGAATCTTTGTCCATGCAAAAGGCATCAGGGCGAGAATGACTTGCAACATTTCGTCTTCCAGTATGTCACAGTATGGAGGTAGACTTATGAATGAACGGCACCAGCTGCACCAAGATTTTGTAACATATAGCCCCTCATAAATAGGTCACGCGGCCCTGAGCAATACAACTCTATAAATGGGAGCCTACGCTGTTGCAGGAAAATATGAGCCCGTCTGGTGGGCAGTTTTATTTCGTGCAAAGACTTACGTGCAGGCATGGATATGTAACATGCATCGCTGCATCATGCTGCATCGCTACCCACGACAGCAGATAGACTCGAGCATCTTGCGAGTCGTCATTTTGATTTTCGTCGTCGACTACGCCTCACACCAGCGCAGTGCCTGGTTGTACTCGTGCCTATGTAGAAGGCAAACCGCCGATTGATCTTCGAGCTCGTGGCAGACATGGCAGGCACGGAGTCTGTCCAGTGAGACAGGGCTCATAAATGCCTCGTGTCGTAGAGCTCTTCTTGAGGCATCATGTTTGTGACCACAAGGAACCCCAGGGTTGCTAATCCTCAGACCCCGGCCAGTCGGTGCTCTCGCGGCCTTTGAATCAGCATGGCGTCGGTTAGGGCCCATCAATCATGTTTTGGTCTGTACTTCCTGCGGCATGCGGTTGTTCCGAATCAATTGTCCAGCTCCTGTCCTCTTGTTGCAGGCTTCGCAACAACAAGCTTGGAACAACGGTGCAGACAAGTATCGTTGGATAGAGATACGGATAGCCGGAACACCCTGCACGAAGAGGTAGCTGCAAACGAACGCACGGGCTGCGGTGTTTAGACCAACGAAAGGGCTGCCGCCTCGACTACAGCTGGCACCCGTTGAGCCAGGGCTCCATGCGTTCCCACGAACTCAAACGTTCAAGCCTAAAAGCCTGGCCCCGAAGAGGTCCACCTTATTTGGGTTTGCAAT